CAATGTTAGCCCGTCGCAGCTAGGCTGAGGTGTCGGCTGGAGTGCCTCACATCTGCTAATTGGTACAAACAGGTAGCAGATGCACATCCCCGCCACTGAGCCTCTGCCAATTAGCCAGGCAAGGCTCAACCACAGGCGACCAGGCCGCCATGCTGGCTCAGGGATGGGGAAGAGGAGGGATTTGCCTGGTGGCATCCCAGCCAAGCTAGGGGAGTACGGAAGAGGATTGAGAGGGTAGGGGGTACAAGGAAATGCCCCTAGTTTTCCCCAACAGGCTGCGTCAGGATGGTCTGTCTGGTTTGGGCCCAGCGTGAGTGGATTGCTGCCAGCTGTGTGTTGGCAGTAGGGTTTCAGATGGCAGAGCCATAGTGGTGGGACTTTTGCCAGTCCAACTAGGAAACACGGATAGGGACGCAACCTAGAGCTTTGAGGAGAGGAAGTACAGTGCCTTCAGAAAGTATTCACACCCCTTGACTTTTTACACATTTTGTTGTTACAGCCTGAATTTAAAATTGATTAAATTGAGATTTTGTGTCACTGGCCTACACACAATACCAAATAATGTCAAAGTGGAATTATGTTTTTAGAAATGTTTACTAATGAATTGAAAATGAAAACCTGAAATGTCTTGAGTCAATAAGTATTCAACCCCTTTGTAATGGCAAGCCTAAATAAGTTCAGGAGTCAAAATTTGCTTAAGTCACATAAGTTGCATGGACTCATTGTGCAATAATAGTGTTTAACATGATTTTTGAATTACTACCTCATCTCTGTACCCCACACATACAATTATCTTTAAGGTCCCTCAGTCGAGCAGTGAATTTCAAACACAAGACCAGGGAGGTTTTCCAATCCCTCGCAAAGTAGGGCACTTATTGGTAGATTGGAAAAAAAACACACAAAAAACAGACATTAAATATCCCTTTTAGCATGGTGAAGTTATTAATTACACTTTGGATGGTGTATCAATACAGCCAGTCCCTACAAAGATACAAGCGTCCTTCCTAACTGCCGGAGAGGAAGGAAACCGCTCAGGGATTTCACCATGAGGCCAATGGTGACTTTAAAACTGTTACAGAGTTTAATGGCTGTGATAGGAGAAAACTGAAGATGGATCAACAACATTGTAGTTACTCCACAATACTAACCTAAATGACAGATGTGTACAAATATTCCAAAACATGCATTCTGTTTGCAATAATGCACTAAAGTAAAACTGCAAAACATGTAGCAAAGAAATGCACTTTATGTCCTGAATACAAAGCGTTATGTTTGGGGCAAATCCAACACATCACTGAGTACCACTCACAGCATGGTGGTGGCTGCATCATGTTATGGGTAGGCGTTTCCTCGCAAGGACTAGGGAGTTTATTAATTTTTTATACAGTACCAGTCAAAAGTTTGGACACACCTACTCATTCAAAGATTTTTCTTAATTTGTACTATTTTCTACATTGTAGAATAAAAGTGAAGACATCAAAACTATGAAATAACACATATGGAATCATGTAGTAACCAAAAAAGTGTTAAACAAATCAAAATATATTTTATATTTGAGATTATTAAAATAGCCACCCTTTGCCTTGATGACAGCTTTGCACACTCTTGGCATTCTCTCAACCAGCTTCACATGGAATGCTTTTCCAACAGTCTTGAAGGAGTTCCCACATATGCTGAGCACTTGTTGGCTGCTTTTCCTTCACCATACCATCCGACTCATCCCAAACCATCTCAATTGGGTTGAGGTCGGGGGATTGTGGAGGCCAGGTCATCTGATGCAGCACTTCATCACTCTCCTTCTTGGTAAAATAGCCCTTACACAGCCTGGAGGTGTGTTGGGTCATTGTCCTGTTGAAAAACAAATGATAGTCCCATTAAGCCCAAACCAGATGGGATGGCGTATCGCTGCAGAATGCAGTGGTAGCCATGCTGGTTAAGTGTGCCTTGAATTCTAAATAAATCACAGACGGTGTCACCAGCAAAGCACCCCCACACCATAACACCTCCTCCATGCTTTACGGTGGGAACTACACATGCGGAGATCATCCGTTCACCCACACCGCGTCTCACAAAGACACAGCGGTTGGAACCAAAAATCTTCAATTTGGACTCCAGACCAAATGAGAAATTTCCACCGGTCTAATGTCCATTGCTTGTGTATCTTGGCCCAAGCAGGTCTCTTCTTCTTATTGGTGTCCTTTAGTAGTGGTTTATTTGCAGCAATTCGACCATGAAGGCCTGATTCACACAGTCCCCTCTGAACAGTTGATGTTGAGATGTGTCTGTGACTTGAACTCAGTGAAGCATTTATTTGGGCTGTCATTTCTGAGGCTGGTAACTCTAATGAACTTATCCTCTGCAGCAGAGGTAACTCTGGGTCTTCCATTCCTGTGGCGGTCCTCATGAGAGCCAGTTTCATCATAGCGCTTGATGGTTTTTGGGACTGCACTTGAAGAAACGTTCTTGACATTTTCCGGATTGAATGACCTTCATGTCTTAAAGTAATGATGGACTGTCGTTTCTCTTTGCTTATTTGAGCTGTTCTTGCCATAATATGGACTTGGTCTTTTACCAAATAGGGCTAACTTCTGTATACCCCCTCTACCTTGTCACAATACAACTGATTGGCTCAAACGCATTAAGGAGGAAAGAAATTCCACAAATTAACTTTTAACAAGGCACACCTGTTAATTGAAATGCATTCCACGTGACTACCTCATGAAGCTGGTTGAGATAATGCCAAGAGTGTGCAAAGCTGTCTTTTGGTTACTACATAATTCCATATGTGTTATTTCATAGTGTTGATGTCTTCACTATTACTCTACAATGTAAAAAATAGTAAAAATAAAGAAAAACGGTTGAATGAGTAGATGTGTCCAAACTTTTGACTGGTAGTGTATATAAAAATAAATGGAATGGAGCTAAGCACAGGCAAAATCCTAGAGGAAAAACTGGTTCAGTCTGCTTTCCAACAGACACTGAGAGACAAATTCACCTTTCATCAGGACAATAACCTAAAATATAAGGCCAAATATACAATGGAGTTGCTTACGAAGACGACATTAAATGTTCATGAGTGGCCTTGTTACAGTTTTGACAGAGCTTGAAGAAATGTAAGAAGAATCATGTGCAAACATTGTACAATCCAGGTGTTCAAGGCTCTTAGAGACTTCCCCAGAAAGACTCACAGCTGTAATCACTACCAAAGGTGATTCTAACATGTAGTGACTCAGGGGTGTGAATACTTATGTAAATTAGATATTTCTGTATTTAATTTTCAATACATTTGCAAAAAAGTCTAAAAACATGTTTTCACTTTGTCATTATGGGGTATTGTGTAGATGGGTGAGAAAAAAATAAATGTAGTCCATTTTGAATTCAGGCTGTAACATCAAAATGTGGAATAAGTCAAGGGGTATGAATACTTTCTGAAGGCACTGTAGATCCTGCTAGGGTTTTTGTTTAGCCTATATTGTGAGGGATAGCTAGGACTATTTACTCAGTGTTTGTCTGTCATCAATACTTCCTGCTCATCTGCTTTTTTTTTCAGAACAGGGTCGACAACACAAGAATGCAGAATACTCTTGAGTAGCCTATTTATTGAGAGCAGAATGTTACATTTGTTCTGTCTGGGTGTCAAGTAAGGTCTTCATTGTAAAATCTCTGAATGAGTTACTTCATATTCTTAGCTTTGATGAAGCCCATGCTTTAGTTGAATGGAAACAAAAATCCAGAAAATCACATTTTCCTCAGGCTGCTTTAGGGAAGACGCAGGAAGTGTAATGTCACACCAGCAGACCGCTTTCCTGTATGTTCCCTTTATGTTGCCTCTCCTCCATCAATCCAAAGTGCTTTAAAGGCTAGTTAAGCAGCCTAACACGTTTTAAATGGTAAATAAACTCCTTTGTCGCGAGCGGAGCTGTGGAGAGCACTGTTTATTATGGCCTCTTTAATGATGAGGAATGTTCAGTAATGACCCTTCTGCGTGTCACCGAGGTGACAGAAGTCGGTTATCTCATTAGTTCCCCCTCGTTGAATTGAGGCCTGAGACAACATGATCTCAACTGCTGCTTTGCTAGCTCACGCTCCACTCATGCTCGCACACCGCCGACAAATACCAGGATGGAGGGAGATTTGGACTTTGGAGCAATGGGTGGGCGTGACGTGGTCAAGTTTTTCCCAAAGCTACCAGACCAGAGAGCTTTTTTTCTAATCCTCAGACGTCAGAAGCATAGTAAATAACCTGTTCTGCTCAAAGCACGATCGCTGACTGTGAGTCAGTTTATGTGTGTTTATGGCGTGTCTTCAGAAGGGTGGGGTTGAGTTGTTCTGTGTGGTTAACCCGGATGGTTGATTGACTGATAAAGTACTCACTACTCTCTTTTGTTTTCCAGCTGAATATCCTGGTTGATACGGGAAGCAGTAACTTTGCAGTGGCTGCAGCAGCACACCCCTTCATCACACACTTCTTCAACACAGCACTGTGAGTCAGGCTCTCATATTTGCTCTCAGTGGAATAGCTCTTTCTATTGGGTCAATGAGAGGGCTACATTATCCACACATTATATTTGGTGGCCCAAATAATATTAGAAAATGCCTTAATTCAACAACCAGTGTTTCACATCAATCTCATTAGAATTTATACTACAATCTGATCGTGTTTATTTTTGTTTAGAATTGGCTCAGGCATTCGTTTGATAAGATTGCTGGTTAATCTCCATGTCCCTCCCTGTGTTCAGCTCCAGTACGTACCAGTCCACTGGCAGGGCCGTGGCCGTCAAGTACACCCAGGGCAACTGGGAGGGCGAGCTGGGCACCGACCGCGTCCTCATCCCCAGCATCCCTGGCACCCTCACCATCAACATCGCCACTATCCTCTCCTCCGACGGATTCTTCCTCCCGGGGGTCAACTGGCAGGGCATCCTGGGCCTGGCCTACCCACTGCTGGCTCGGGTAAATGGGGAAGGGGGGGTGGTCCTGGTGCCCCCTGGGACTCTGGATATGAAGGAAGGGGTTCCATGCCTATCCCCATGTCTGTTTGATTTGGCACAGGGGTGTCCGTAAGCGTGGTGGGGCTTGAAGAGCTGCTGAATGTTATCAAAGAGCAAATAAACTCAACCGGAGAAGGTTCACACATGATACTGTTCAGAATGGAACTGTGATCTCATCATCAGAACCATGGGGCGTGATGTGGCTTAGGCTATTCTGAGCTGACACAATGTATGCCTTATACAGATTTTCAGGTCAACCATTTAAAATAATTGACATACAGTGACCACAATGTACTGCGGATCTCAACTTTTGTTCAGGTTCAGATGATTTGCAGAATGTTCATCACACATCACATGCATATATCTGGCCCTTGACATATACACCATGTGAAGTCAAGGTATAGAGAGGGGGGATCCTGTTTAGTCAGGGTGATAACTGATAAGACTTTCTCCTGTCATTCTCTGTGCTTACAGCTTTACTATTGACCAATAGGACAGCCAAGACGTTACACTGTTTTACACTAAGTTAATGACCAGAGTGTTTTGTGTTTATGTCTCCTGTTTTTCAGCCCGACTCCTCGGTGGAGCCCTTCTTTAACGCCGTGGTGCGACAGACAGGCATCCCAGATGTGTTCTCCCTCCAGATGTGCGGAGCTGGGCTGTCAGCCAGCACCACTGCCGATCCCGCGGGGGGAAGTCTTGTGAGTAGTCAGGAGGAGAAAGCTAAAGGCTATGAATGGTAGGAGTGAATGGTGGGGGGGAGACTTCCTTACAAAGGCTGGTTGTTGCACTGTAAAAGAGGATGATTATTGAGGCTGTTCATCTCACGCAAGCTAGGCAGACGCTTGGCATAATACTGCTCCCAACGCCCAGACCAGATACATCTTTCAAGGGCGGATGAGACTGAGCGGCATGGTGCTTCTCAGAAACATGATCACTAGCAAGTTTCTGCGCCTCTCAATGTGTTTCCCCATTGGACACCCAATCTAGTTAGCGAGTGGCTAATTAAGCTAAGATAGCCCCCTGCCGAGAGCAGGTCTGTCGGTGTTATAAGAGTGGTCGCGTTGGAGCCGACCACATGAGTGAGAGGGGCAGATGGGAGAGATGGTGGGGTGTAATCAGTGTCTGCAATGCCATACCAAACATTGCCAAGGCATACCATTTTAGTTTTATTATAGTATTCAGGCTATCATTGTATTCAGTCATTTGTAAAGTGAATGAAAACCCAGTTTTGTTTCAGGTAATGGGAGGGGTTGAACCAACATTGTATTCGGGGTCCATGTGGTACACCCCTATAAAGGAAGAGTGGTACTATCAGGTGGAAGTATTGAAGCTGGAGGTTGGGGACCAGAATCTAAACCTGGACTGCAAAGAGGTATGAGACAGACTGTCCCCTGTTGTTTTCTAAATGGCTTTTTCTTGGTCTAAATGGTTTGCAAGGTATTTCAATCTGCACAATACATCAGGTTTGAGGAACAAAGACTAACCTTGGCCCTAAGGCTGTTTGTAGTGAGCATTCTTGCTGGATTAGTCTATAGTGCAAGTTTGGACAAAGGATATAATGCATGCCTGAGCTGAGATATGAGACTGTGCTAAACCTGTTAGTGAAGCCTTCCAGGAACCAAGGTGGACATTTCAGCTTTTCCTTTGATCAAGGTCTTCTGAAAGGAAAACATGCAACAGAAGAAAAAAAATCCCCTTTCTTTATACATCTTCCTCTCTCTCCTCTCCTTCTTTCTCCTCTCTCAGTACAACAAGGATAAAGCCATAGTGGACAGTGGAACCACTCTGCTGCGGCTGCCTGTGAATGTGTTCAGTGCTGTGGTGGAGGCCATCTCAAGAACATCTCTGGTATGTCAGCCGCTGTGCCCATGGTCAAATGACAAAGGACTTCTAGGATAACCTGGTTGTCTGAGGACACTTCAGTAACTGTGTAGTCTGAGGACACTTCAGTAACTGTATAGACTGAGGACACTGCAACTTATTTCCTTTCCATACAATGGCTTGTATTTAATAATAATATAATATAATATGCCATTTAGCAGACGCTTTTATCCAAAGCGACTTACAGTCATGCGTGCATACATTTTTGTGTATTTGTATTTGTATTTGTCCACCCCTATATGGCAACTTTGTTCTGGTCTACAGATCTGAGAGAAAATGTGTGGTTGTCTATGTAAAAGTACACTTTTTTCACAACAGAGTAGTTTTGTTGGAGTCTTAACAATCTGTCACTGTCTTTCTATGGTCCAGATCCAGGACTTCACCTCAGGGTTCTGGGGTGGTACTAAACTGGCCTGCTGGTTGAAGGGAGAGACACCATGGAGGTTCTTCCCCAAACTGTCCATCTACCTGAGAGCCACCAACACCAGCCAGTCCTTCAAAATCTCCATCCTCCCTCAGGTGACAACAAATGTCCCCCATGTTGCTTCCGTGTGTTTGTTGTTTGCTTACTTTAACCAACATCCGCCATCTTGTTATGAGCTTTAGATCTGTTTGCCGACAGCTCTTTTATTGACATTAGTGTGGCTGCTCCCTGCAGCTGTATATCCAGCCAATCACAGATGTGGACGGTACGCTGGACTGCTTCCGCTTCGGCATCTCGTTGTCAGCCAACGGCCTGGTGATAGGAGCCACCGTCATGGAGGGCTTCTACGTCGTCTTCGACCGGGCTGAGAAGAGGGTGGGCTTCGCTGTCAGCAGATGTGCAGGTGAGGGCTGGAGACACTTGGGGCATAAATTATATGATTGGGTCTTAGATACGGCCTTGGTCTTCCAATATAATATGGTTATGGCTCTAGCATCAGAAAAGTTTTTTTGGGGGGGCTAGTAAACGTTTATCTGCTTGGTCAAGTGCTCTTCGTATACCTATCTCACATTCCACAGTGCATTAGCTATTATAACCCCGGTCCCTCTCTCTCTCCAGTGAACGGTGGGATAGCCGTGTCAGAGATCTCGGGGCCCTTCTCATCTGCAGACGTGGCATCTGACTGTGCTGCTGGAGGGCTGCTGAAGGAGCCCCTTCTCTGGGTCATCTCCTACGCCCTGATGGCCGTCTGTGTCGTGGTGCTCCTCATCCTGCTCCTCCTCCTCGTCCTGCCCTGTCGTCCCCGAGACCGGTCCGGTGAGATCACTGATGAGTCCTCGCTGGTCCGCCACCGCATCAAGTGACTGAGGCGGGCTTCGGGTGGGACGACGACCGGGAGTTCCAGTTCTACTGAGGCTGGGAGAGGGGAGGGGTTGGAGCTGCACTGACCAATAGGACTGTTCTCTGGACACATCATGGAAAAAGAGACTGCAGTTTGACCAGAGAACGCTTTTCTTAGCTTAGATGTTACCAGTTTTCTTTGCACTCCAGTTTCATAGCAACCTCTGATTAATTTAGACATGTTATTAGACTGAAGGTTGGGTAGCAGAAAGGAATAATGCTATCCTTATGCCAGCCCAGTCCCTCCTTGCACATATTTCCTGCTGATTCTACACTGCCTACAACATGGTAGTGAAGTGCACTGTTGTCACCTGAGAGACAAGGTCCTAATAACTCTTAAACAGTCATGTTTCTTTTTACTTCTCAGAAGCCTGAACTCAAAATAGGATATTATAAATTAGATTCAAGTTTGTTGAATGTTCCCCACAGGTATCATTACCATTTTTTCATGGCAATTTTCTTATTCTCTGCTGTGTGATAAAAGGAGGAATGTTTGGTAGGAAATGTCCTTTGTCAAGCTGTTTCTCTTATTTTAAGAGTTGGGGAGTTGACTAAATGTTTTAATTCACAAAGCACAACCAGGAGGTCACAGACAATAGAAGATGATGCACATATTATGTTGGGGTAAGAAAATCACATGGGAGGTATTATGATATATCAACCTTTGTGGTTTACAATGATATCAAGTCATAGCCATCTCATATGGGAACTAGCATGGGTTTGCGACATTCTGTTTACCTGCACTTTTCAAATACTGATCAAAAGTGTCATATTATGAATATCAATATCACTCCATCTGTATGAGTGAGAGTGAAGCAATCGACAGTAACTGTTATAGGATTTTGTAATGACATTGTTGTATTGATGTTATGTACTTTTATTAATATACATATTTTATATTTAAGTCAATATGAATGTGATTGTATAATATTATTTCAAAACCTCACCATTAGTAGACACATACAGAAAACTGATTTGTAAGGGCACATATTTATATTATAGTATTTCTATGTTAAATAACGTTTTCTAAATTTTACAACACCCAAAGTTACCCATGATTTCAAATAGGGAGATGTATTGGCCAAACAAATTGTTTAAGATGTACTGTATTTTTCTATCAAAAGTTGTAAAAAAATGTTTTGCAAAGGTGTTTGATAGAAAATCAGGTGCAGATTTAAATTGAACTGTTCATGATTGTTTGTTAAAATGTGTTAACTGTATATCCGTGCCAATGTTCTGATTGTATATAATTAAATAGATCAGATTAAAGTAAAGGCTCTCTCATTCCAGCGTGATAATACGCCCGGGCTCTATTCCAACAGCCTTCAACCTAGATAAACAATCCACCATTCACTTGAATATTATGAATAAAGAAAGTTACACAAGTAGAGAGCACCACGGTGCAGGTTCACTTTCTCTGTAATCTTGAGTTCAAGAGCAACTACCAAGAACACTCTTCAAGCAACATCAGGTGGTCAAATGTGGTACATACATTTAATGACTTTTCAAACTGTACAGTACACAAAACAGCAGTGGTGGAAAAAGTACCCAATTGTCATACTTGAGTACATTTTACATTTTAGTCATTTAGCAGACGCTCTTATCCAGATCGACTTACAGTTAGTGAGTGCATACATCTTTTTATTTTCTTTTATATACTGGTCCCCCGTGGGAATCGAACCCACAACCCTGGCGTTGCAAGCGCCATGCTCTACCAACTGAGCTACACGTGACTAAAGTAAAGATACCTTAATAGAAAATTACTCAAGTGAAAGTCACCCAGAAATACTTGAGTGAAAGTCAAAGTATTTCATTTTAAATATACTTAAGTATCAAAATTAAAAGTATAAATAATTTCAAATTCCTTATTAAGTCAATCAGATGGCACAAGGTATATGTTTATTTTTTTAATTTTTTATTACATATAGCCAAGGGCACACTCCAACACTCAAACGAAGCATTTGTGTTTAGTGAGTCTGCCAGATCAGAGGCAGTAGAGATGACCTGGGATGTTATCTTGATAAGTGTGTGAATTGGACCATTTTCCTGTCCTGCTAAGCATTCAAAATGTAACAAGTACTTTTGGGTGTCAGGGAAAATGGAGTAAAAAGTACATTATTTTCTTTAGTGATGTAAAAGTTGTCCAAAATATAAATAGTAAAGTACAGATACCCCCAAAAAAACAACTTAAGTAGTACTTAAGTATTTTTACACCACTGCAAAACAGTATCAGGATGTAGAAGTAGTAATTCAATTATTTAATTAATATACTGTAGACAGTGGGGGAAAAAAGTATTTAGTCAGCCACCAATTGTGCAAGTTCTCCCACTTAAAAAGATGAGAGAGGCCTGTAATTTTCATCATAGGTACACGTCAACTATGACAGACAAATTGAGATTTCTTTTTCCAGAAAATCACATTGTAGGATTTTTAATGAATTTATTTGCAAATTATGGTGGAAAATAAGTATTTGGTCACCTACAAACAAGCAAGATTTCTGGCTCTCACAGACCTGTAACTTCTTCTTTAAGAGGCTCCTCTGTCCTCCACTCGTTACCTGTATTAATGGCACCTGTTTGAACTTGTTATCAGTATAAAAGACACCTGTCCACAACCTCAAACAGTCACACTCCAAACTCCAGAAGAACACCATACCTACTGTGAAGCATGGGGGTGGAAACATCATGCTTTGGGGCTGTTTTTCTGCAAAGGGACCAGGACGACTGATCCGTGTAAAGGAAAGAATGAAGGGGGCCATGTATCGTGAGATTTTGAGTGAAAACCTCCTTCCATCAGCAAGGGCATTGAAGATGAAACGTGGCTGGGTCTTTCAGCATGACAATGATCCCAAACACACCGCCCGGGCAACGAAGGAGTGGCTTCGTAAGAAGCATTTCAAGGTCCTGGAGTGGCCTAGCCAGTCTCCAGATCTCAACCCCATAGAAAATCTGAAAGTCCGTGTTGCCCAGCGACAGCCCCAAAACATCACTGCTCTAGAGGAGATCTGCATGGAGGAATGGGCCAAAATACCAGCAACAGTGTGTGAAAACCTTGTGAAGACTTACAGAAAACGTTTGACCTGTGTCATTGCCAACAAAGGGTATATAACAAAGTATTGAGAAACTTTTGTTATTGACCAAATACTTATTTTCCACCATAATTTGCAAATAAATTCATTAAAAATCCTACAATGTGATTTTCTGGAAAAAAAAATCTCAATTTGTCTGTCATAGTTGACGTGTACCTATGATGAAAAGTACAGGCCTCTCTCATCTTTTTAAAGTGGGAGAACTTGCACAATTGGTGGCTGACTAAATACTTTTTCCCCACTGTACATACAAATGAGGACAAATTAGATATTGGAACATGTAGCACAAATGAAGGTTGTGTTAGTTATAACAGTGGTATTTCTGATGACATTCTGTACGTACAAAAAATAGACACGTCTTTCTGGCTTTTCTATTCAGATCTTCTAAAGACAGAAAAAAATGAAATGTTTCCACCATTTCATTCTGATTGTCCACCAGTAATTTCTCTGTACATTGCTTCTCAGTTTTCATCTTCATATTTCTGCAAAACCAAAGTTAAAACTTCCCATTATTAAAAAGTGTATGAGTGTTAATCACAACAATGGCTTTATTGGTTTCTTATACCTGCATTTGCTCATAGATACAGGCTAGGAAGAAGGCGACATTACCATAGACACCTGGTTTGTTCCTCTGGGCACAGCCTTCTCCCCAGCTTGTGTCCCTACCAGCCACCATACTGAGTCCTTCTCTGTCACAAGCAGGCAACCACTGTCTCCCTGGGAGACAGAGTCCATGTCACATTTAAGGAATGATGCAATACACAATCCTTAGAGGGTTTCCTCTGTTTCTATGCTATTACAGTGAGGGAAAAAATATTTGATCCCCTGCTGATTTTGTACGTTTGCCCACTGACAAAGACATGATCAGTCTATAATTTTAATGGTAGGTTTATTTGAACAGTGAGAGACAGAATAACAACAAAAAAATGCTCTTTGGCATCAACTCAACTCGCCGTGTTTGGAGGAGGAGGAATGATGCCTATGACCCCAAGAACACCATCCCCACCGTCAAACATGGAGATGGAAACATTGTGCTTTGGGGGTGTTTTTCTGTAAGGGGACAGGACAACGTCACCGCATCAAAGGGACAATGGACGGCGCCATGTACCGTCAAATCTTGGGTGAGAACCTCCTTCCCTCAGCCAGGGCATTGAAAATGGGTCGTGGATGGGTATTCTCGCATGACAATGACCCAAAACACACGGCCAAGGCAACAAAGGAGTGGCTCAAGAAGAAGCACATTAAGGTCCTGGAGTGGCCTAGCCAGTCTCCAGACCTTAATCCCATAGAAAATCTGTGAAGGGAGCTGAAGATTCGAGTTGCCAAACGCCAGGCTCGAAACCTTAATGACTTGGAGAAGATCTGCAAAGAGGAGTGGGACAAAATCCCTCCTGAGATGTGTGCAAACCTGGTGGCCAACTACAAAAAACATCTGACCTCTGATTGCCAACAAGGGTTTTGCCACCAAATACTAAGTCATGTTTTGCAGAGGGGTCAAATACTTATTTCCCTCATTAAAATGCAAATCAATTTATAACATTTTTGACATGCGTTTTTCTGGATTTTTTTGTTGTTATTCTGTCTCTCACTGTTCAAATAAACCTACCATTAAAATTATAGACTGATCATGTCTTTGTCAGTGGGCAAACGTACAAAATCAGCAGGGGATCAAATACTTTTTTCCCCTCACTGTAACTGCAGTTTCATTGAGCTTGTTTTTCTGTAACTGAATAATAAGCAGTATTGATGTATTACAGGCCATTCAATCACATAATGTGGTAGTGGATATACACTACACTCACCCACTTAACTGGCTAAAGGCACAGTACAGTATATAATGGAGGTTTTGTTTGACCATGGCTCCAGAGCATGTTACATGAAGGCATGAAAACCCTCCATCTGAGCTGTTCAAAGCGTAGAAACACCCCTGATGTCACTGCTATGTTTGTATCTGAGAAGTGGAATTATATTATGGAATGTATGATTCCACTTGTATGATACTCTTGTTTGACTTTTATAGAAACAGAACAAAGGTACATTGATGTGGCAGTGTGAAAGCCTTATCCAACTGTCTTTACACATATTTTTTTTAAGTGTTTTTAACCAGAATGACTCAGTTCTTCCATGAATGAACAGAGCAAATCGTAGAAGTGATGAATGCTTTAGGCTACTCATAGACTCCTGATACTTTCATGATAATAGATTAGATGTATTTATTTTTCATAACCTTCAAATATATTTTGTCATTCAGAGTAAAACAGCTTATGTTTGGGGCCCTAAGTTTTTCTTGAACACATGATCTGACCACTAAAAACTGGACATCTAGGGACCTAGCCTGGGTACCAGACCTGTTTGTGCTATCATTCCACTCCTGTCATATGAAAAAAAGTGGCAAGGAGTGGAATGATGGTACCCAGGCGAATAGGGACCTATGAGGCACAGTGAGTCAGAGATCTGTTACCTGGCATGAGTCCACTCCTCCGTCCAGCCTGCGGGGACATATCATGTCATGTGTGATCTTCCTGTTGTAGACAGAGGAGCTGTTACAGATGGTCCTGTCTATCAGTGAAACCTCAGCTTCCATCAAAGAGCTGGAGCATGACCTTGGGACAGACAGGTGAACACATCAACTATGGAACATCTCCCTTTATCGTACTCAAAATAACATATCTTAGCTACAACATTTCTAATGGCTTCTGATTGTATTGATGTGCAGGGTATTCATTTTTACACCAACTGGGTTGGTAAACTGTTACTCAACACCATGCTATGTGCTGTACATTAGGGCTAGATATGGTACATCTTAGTCAATTGTAAGAAAAAAAAGAAAAGAGTAACAAACTAATTTCTGTCTTGAACTGAGTGCAAACAACACAGGTCATAAGTATATTCTCATGATATTGTATAATGATGACTTACCACCAGAAACTGTGCTGCCAAATCCTGAAATCCAGTATGTCCTGGGAGCAGTGGTCCAGACCGACATTGGGTAAACATACAGGCCTTATTTTATCTGCATAGGAAAGAAAGCATAGTAAAGAATTTCTGTGCTATGAGCTTAGCCATTAGCAAAATATTAACTAGTCTTTGTGCTGAAATAGTCTGCTGAGAAGGGACAACAGCAAGATAATGTGAGTCCTACCATTAATCTGTAATGGTTTAATGAGTCTCATGAGGGCGATGCCATTATTCCCTGTCTCTGTGTCGTAATCATGGGTGACAATGTGGCTCACTGAAGAACTGCCAGGGCTGAAGTGTGTAGATATTTGATTCCCAAGTCCTGTATGTACTGTCCAGTCTTTAGGATAAGAGCAACTGAAATTAAAGACAACTGACAAACTAGTCAATTTAACCAGGATGCCACAGATTCAATGAATAAGCTCAGAAGTGGACTGTGCTGGACATACCCAATGATATACAGTATATTTCAATAATATAGTGCATATACTGAACAGTATGTATGTCTATGGACATAACTCCACTACGCAGTGTGCTGCCGTCACGATCCAGTAGGGGGTGATGATAGAACCGCCACAGATATGAAAGCCGTCGACTTAGAGGCTGACTTGCCATGGCCCCAAACTGGCCTCCTGGGCTCCCACGATTACTCTGGTACCACAGTCTGGAGACAGAGGTTGATCAGATGGTAACACTTTACATGAAGTTGCTCTATAACTGTGTAGTAAGTTACATAATGACTTACCTATGCACTTCAGGGTTACCCCCTTAACACTGGGACAGGTTTTACTGAGGAGAGTAAAATAAATCACAAAAATACAGTTAGACAGTGTTTTCAAGAGTTGAATATATCATACCATTGGGAAATGGTATGATATGAAATGTGATTGGCTCATTATGGGTGTGTCAGTCCTTAACCCAGACTTCAGCATTAAGAATCCACTGGCATTTGCCTTCTGTTGGCCAGATTTAACACATCTGTCTTTGTGAACCCATAGCAAACAAAGATGAATTAAATAAATGACCATAACACATGCTCACTGTGTTACATTCATGTCTATGCTTGCTTGACTATCTCACCATGCATATAGAGGGAAGATTCCATTTTCAATACAATAAACTATTGGCATAAAGATCATATCAATACAAAAATGTAGTAAAGAAATCTAGATACAGTATGTCTCACCTGCTGTATCCTAAATGCTGACAGGCTGCCTTCCCATGGTGATCAGCCAATCCATCTGAGCACACTGTCCTCCACGATCCACTGGTAGACGAATAGGCGTGCAGAAGAAAACTGGAGCCACATAGCCTCACTGTAGAAAAACAAATAGCACAACACACAATGTTTAGTAAAAGAGCAAAAACCAACATAAGAGACACAGTACCTGTACAGTAAAATCTGCCAGCTAGGTCTTTGTCAGGGCAGATGACCAGAGGTCTGAATGGGTAAAGGTAAAGCGTCAGAAAACCTATCTTCAAAGAGTACCTTGTTTGAACCCCCTAGCAACCCCCTAATATAAATAAAATAAAATAACCTAACACTTACTGTTGTACTTGCCTTTCTTGCACTAACATTTGAGCTTGTCTTTTCTGATTAGCAATGATTTTGCTGATAGCTGCTTTATTGAGAAAACTTTCTTACAATGACTGATTTGTGGTTGTTTTACTACCTTAAGTTTAATGCACTGACTGTAAATTGTTCTGGATTAGAACATCTGCTAAATTACCAAAATGTAATGTAAAATGGATACTTGGAACACTGAGCTTCATCCTGCGCTGCTGGACCGTCTCTTACCCCATCACACCACTGAGACTGGCTGACACAGCGACCATCGCCACATGCCACCCCACGCGCACATCTGGAGGACACTGGAGGGTGAGGATAAGGATGGTCGGAAGGGAATACGTTTTATTCATCAATTTGAAGTGAATGAAGTGCACCTATGTTTTAGGATAGATGCCGAATGATAAGAGGGAAACACACTAACACTTACAGTAGTATCCAAGCAAGATCCCAGCAACCAATATGAGAAGGAGCACACTGATGACAGTGGTCCCTATGTACTTGATGGATGAATTCTTCTACATTCTTCTTTAACATAAACATCAAAGGTATACTCATTTGTACTACTAAAAAGGTTTTAAACACAAAACATTTTTGTTGCTTAATTACAATATTACATTAGTCTGACAGGAAGAGGGCAAAATGTATGCATGTAACAACTGTCAGAAAAGGGAGGTAGACACCTTTGCAGTCAGGTATAGAGGCAGCGCTACCAGGGGGAGGTGCAGGGCCCAGTTTTTGTACAAACTGGGGTAGTTCCTCCGCAGAGGGGTTGAGTGGAGGGGGCCTCCCCCGAGTCCCCTTACCCTCATGGAAACCCTTGTTAGGGATGTAGGGACCTGACTCTTGGTACTGTGTAGAAGACATACAGTAAACAAGATTAAAAGGTCAAGTTAAATTAATTAAACAGTTTGACCACTCTTCTGCTACAATGTAATAACTACATTTAATGCACTAGAATAGGCAATTAAATTACTCAGCGGGTTCAAACGAGGTACCCTTGTTGGGATTTTGTTCCACTCCTCTTTGCAGATCTTCTCCAAGTCATTAAGGTTTTGAGCCTGACGTTTGGCAACTCGAACCTTCAGCTCCCTCCACAGATTTTCTATGGGATTAAGGTCTGGAGACTGGCTAGGCCACTCCAGGACCTTAATGTGCTTCTTCTTAAGCCACTCCTTTGTTGCCTTGGCCGTGTGTTTTGGGTCATTGTCATGCTGGAATACCCATCCACAACCCATTTTCAATGCCCTGGCTGAGGGACGGAGGTACTCACCCAAGATTTGACGGTACATGGCCCCGTCCATCGTCCCTTTGATGCAGTGAAGTTGTCCTGTCCCCTTAGCAGAAAAACACCCCCAAAGCATAATGTTTCCACCTCCATGTTTGACGGTGGGGATGGTGTTCTTGGGGTCATAGGCAGCATTCCTCCTCCTCCAAACACGGCGAGTTGAGTTGATGCCAAAGAGCTCGATTTTGGTTTCATCTGACCACAACACTTTCACCCTGTTCTCCTCTGAATCATGGAGCTGGCAGAGCTCCATGAGGTGGGAGGTGAGGACAGTGCTGAGGTACTTCCTCTTTTCAGGGTCTCTCTCCTGGTAGATGAGGGTCTCCTGGGCCACGGAGCGCAGGGCCAGGATGGGCTCCACCAGCCCAAAGTCACTGTCCACCAGCAGCTGGGAGTGCTGCTGCCAATGGGAACACACCTCGGCCAGGCCTACGTCGGTCAGGGGCCTGCCACAGGCCGGGGGAAATATACATGTTACATGACTTGTATTAGCTAAAAGTTTGAAGTATCAAAACCCTGCACTCTCTACAAATCTGATGTGTTTTTTGTATGGTTTTGTTTTATAATCATTGAAAGGGGGAGGAGCCTACAAGCCCCTCTGGGTTTCTTACCTCCTCCTGCACATGTTCTTTTTGTTTACCTTTTCATCATATTGTTTTGCATTTTCTTCTTGTGTGCAAATAAAACATTTATAAAAAATAAAACAAATCCCCAAGTTGGTGGATGTGCATTGTGTTGAGGTATGGAACACATACAGTGGGTCACGAATCAAATGTAGCATTTTGTTTAAAATACACTTTTTATACTGTATAGATATTTGAAATGAGCAATGTTGAAATGCTGGGAAGGAAGGTCATACTTGGAGAAGAGTTGTCGGACGCTCTCCAGCTCACTGATCCCCTGGAGGTTCCGTAGAGCAGGGTAGAGAGAGGACACTGCTTCCAGACTGCCTCTGCACAGCTCCTCCACCTCACTGCCCCTGATGCAACACACACACACATAAATCATTTCAACGAGTACAGTTGTTTGGGTGGTGATATATTGATGGCTGAGAGATAGTTGTTGATTTCCATGAGGGAAACCTTGTTTTACCTGCCATATTTAAGAGTTTGATCGAATGTCGGATAATGAGATGGCGCCTGAGAAGATGGCTGCCGTTTTACAGCCCTCCAACCAATTGTATTATTATGTATGTTTTTTCGCGTTATTTGTAATTTATTCTGTACATAATGTTTCTGCCAACGTCTCTTATAACCAAAAATAGCTTCTGGATATCAGGACAACGATTACTCACCTCGTATTGAACAAAAAAAAATTATTCAACGAGTCGGACGCGAAGGATATCCTACAGACACCCGACAAGGTCCAAATCCCCATCATTCGCAGGAGAAAGAGACAAAGATATCGTGGACGTAGGTCGGGGAGCCTTGTAAGGATCCGACGGCGAGCGAGTAAACTGCCTCTTCCATCAATCCTATTAGCCAATGTTCAATCATTTGAAAATAAATTAGATGACCTAAGATTACGGTTATCCTACCAACGGGACATTAAAAACGGTAATATCTTATGTTTCACCGAGTCGTGGCTGAACGAGGACATGGACAACATACAGCTGATGGGAAATACGTTACATCGGCAGGATAGAACGGCTGACTCCGGTAAGACAAGGGGTGGCGGTCTGTGTATATTTGTAAACAACAGCTGGTGCACAAAATCAAATACTAAGGAAGTCTCAAGGTTTTGCTCGCCTGAGGTAGAGTATCTTATGATAAGCTGTAGACCACACTATTTACAAGAGAGTTTTCATCTATATTTTTCATAGCTGTCTATTTACCACCACAAACCAATGCTGGCATTAAGATTGCACTCAATGAGCTGTATAAGGCCATAAGTAAACAGGAAAACGCTCATCCAGAGGCAGCGCTACTAGTGGCCGGGGACTTTCATGTAGGGAAACTTAAATCCATTCTACCTCATTTCTACCAGTATGTTAAATGTGCAACCAGAGGAAAATAAACTCTAGACCACCTTTACTCCACACACAGAGACGCATACAAAGCTCTCCCTCGCCCTCCATTTGGCAATTCTGACCATAACTCTATCCTCCTGATTCCTGCTTATAAGCAAAAACTAAAGCAGGAAGCACCAGTGACTCGGTTAATAAAAAAGTGGTCAGATGACGCAGATGCTAAGCTACAGGACTGTTTTGCTAGCACAGACTGGAACATGTTCTGGGATTCTTCAGATAGCATTGAGGAGTACACCACATCAGTCACTGGCTTCATCAATAAGTGCGTTGATGACGTCGTCCCCACAGTGACCGTACGTACATACCCCAACCAGAAGCCATGGATTACAGGCAACATCCGCACTGAGCTAAAGGGTAGAGCTGCCGCTTTCAAGGAGCGGGACTCTAACCCGGAAGCTTATAAGAAATCCCGCTATGCCCTCCGAAGAAACATCAAACAAGCAAAGAGTCAATACAGGACTAAGATTGAATCGTACTACACCAGCTCTGATGCTCGTCGGATGTGGCAGGGCTTGAAAACTATTACAGACTACAAAGGGAAGCACAGCCGCGAGCTGCCCAGTGACACAAGCCTACCAGACGAGCTAAACCACTTCTATGCTCGCTTCGAGGCAAGCAACACTGAAGCATGCATGAGAGCACCAGCTGTTCCGGATAACTATGTGATCACGCTCTCCGTAGCCGATGTGAGTAAGACTTTTAAGCAGGTCAACATTCACAGACGGATTACCAGGACGTGTACTCCGAGCATGTGCTGGCCAACTGGCAAGTGTCTTCACTGACATATTCAACATGTCCCTGACTGAGTCTGTAATACCAACATGTTTCAAGTAGACCACCATAGTCCCCGTGCCCAAGGACACTAAGATAACCTGCCTAAATGACTACCGACCCGTAGTACTGACGTCTGTAGCCATGAAGTGCTTTGAAAGGCTGGTCACGGCTCACATCAACACCATTATCCCAGAGACCCTAGACCCACTCCAATTTGCATACTGCCCCAACAGATCCACAGATGATGCAATCTGTATTGCACTCCACACTGCCTATTCCCATCTGGACAAGAGGAACACCTACATGAGAATGCAATTAATTGACTACAGCTCAGCATTCAACATAGTGCCCTCAAAGCTCATCACTAAGCTAAGGATCCTGGGACTAAACACCTCCCTCTGCAACTGGATCCTGGAGTTCCTGACGGGCCGCCCCCAGGTGGTAAGGGTAGGTAACAACACATCTGCCACGCTGATCCTCAACACGGGGGCCCCTCAGGGGTCCGTGCTCAGTCCCCTCCTGTACTCCCTGTTCACCCATGACTGCATGGCCAGGCACGACTCCAACACCATCATTAAGTTTGCAGACGACACAACAGTGGTAGGCCTCATCACTGACAACGATGAGACAGCCTATAAGGAGGAGGTCAGAGACCTGGCTGTGTGGTGCCAGGATAACAACCTCTCCCTCAACGTGACCAAGACAAAGGAGATGATTGTGGACTACAGGAAAAAAAAGAGGACTGAGCACGCCCCCATTCTCATCGACGGGGCTGTAGTGGAACAGGTTGAGAGCTTCAAGTTCCTTGTTGTCCACATCACCAACGAACTATCATGGTCCAAACACACCAAGACAGTAGTGAAGAGGGCACGACAAAGCCTATTCCCCCTCAGGAGACTGAAAAGATTTGGCATGGGTCCTCAGATCCTCAAAAAGTTCTACAGCTGCACCATCGAGAGCATCCTGACTGGTTGCATCACTGCCTGGTATGGCAACTGCTCGGCCTCCGACCGCAAGGCACTACAGAGGGTAGTGCGTACAGCCCAGTACTCTGTGGTCCTCTGTAGCTCAGCTGGTAGAGCACGGCGCTTGTAACGCCAAGGTAGTGGGTTCGATCCCCGGGACCACCCATACACTAAAATGTATGCATGCATGACTGTAAGTCGCTTTGGATAAAAGTGTCTGCTAAATGGCATATTATTATTATATTATTATTATCACTGGGGCCAAGCTTCCTGCCATCCAGGACTATACCAGGCGGTGTCAGAGGAAGGCCCTCAAAATTGTCAAAGACTCCAGCCACCCTAGTCATAGACTGTTCTCTCTGCTACCGCACGGCAAGCGGTACCGGAGCGCCAAGTCTAGGTCCAAGAGGCTTCTCAACAGCTTCTACCCCCAAGCCATAAGACTCCTGAACAGCTAATCATATCTACCCAAACTATTTGCACTGCCCCCCCGCCCCACCCCATCTTTTTACACTGCTGCTACTCTGTTAATTATTTATGCATAGTCACTTTAACTCTACTCACATGTACATATTACCTCAACTAGCTTTTTTTCTCAACACTTTTTTGTTGTTGTTGTTTTATTTTACTTTTTTATAAAAAAAATAAATGCATTGTTGGTTAAGGGCTGTAAGTAAGCATTTCACGGTAATGTCTACACCTGTTGTATTCGGCGCATGTGGCAAATAAAATTTGATTTGATTTGAATGTGGAAAGTTCTTTGTCTCTCAAAGCCTGCAGGGAGCAGAACACTGACTCGTTGAAGCCAGGGTTCAATTTCTCACTCCTGAAACAAGCAAAAAGACAAGACACCAAGGGCAAATGTCAATCCATAAAGTCCTATTTTTTTCATCTGGAAAAATACCACCTCAAGAACCCTTACTTTAGTACCCCTTGTCTTCCAGAAGCCCCTCCCACTCGCCTCTCTGATAGGCCACAGTCATGAGGCCACTCCCACTAACCTCTCTGATAGGTCACAATCCCACTGCATGTTCCTCCAGGCGGCCTGAAACCTGAGCTCCCTTAGCTCCGCCCTCCACTCCACCCCCTCACTCTCCAGACCCCGCATATGTGGCCAGGATGCTGCTCAGACCAAAGTTCTGCAGACCCTGAGGGACCATTGGAAAATCAGAATTAGGTTTTGTCATCTGTCCCCAACAATGGTTTACACAGACAGAGACTATACAGATTTGGAGTTGAAACCAGTTTCTGCTTACCTCCAGGATGCCCACTTGCCGTGTGACATCAGGCAGATTGGAGTGGAGGTCGTAAGAGGTCAGAGCCTTTGCCCACACAGCCTCATGTTCATATGTCCGAATCCTACAAAACAGACACACAAAAATAGAATTCTCAGCTAACAAAACTTTGAATATCCAAGATGGGACAAAAGTATGATTTCAAAGTTCACCTGGTGAGAGCGCTGGTCATCTTCTCACCTCCACACCCATACAGTCTGGCTCCCCAATACTACGATACACCTCAATCAGTAGGTCCTAAAACATGGTAAAGAAATGACAGTACAGAGCTATGCATTGGACAACATCACTAAAGGTTAATTGAGTCTAAAGGCAAAATCAACTGAACCTGTAGGCTGATGCCAGTGTCTTTCACACTCTCCTCTGTCAGACTGGAGATGGTGAAGTTCTGACTGCTCTCATCAAATGTGATTCTGTGCGACGTTCTGGCCTGAGTCCTGTAAGCAGAGGTAAAGAATGATGAGAAGAACCCAGAATAAAAAAATGACATAAGAGACATCATTTTGAATCGTGTTCATGTGCGTTAAGTCAATTGTATATTTTTCCAAAGAGATCAAAGGTCAGTATTTCCCATCATGTGTAGTGTACCTGCGGTTCTCCTCCATGTTAGTCTTGATCTTGTCTACGTAGATCTCAGAGTAGAGCAGAGCAGTGAAGTGGGCCGAGCAGGACTGAGCCTCCCTGGCCACCTCCAGGTAGTTCAGCTCCAACCAGAAGTTAGAGTGGCACACCGTACTACACGAGTTAGCAGAACCAACACAACAGCATCAAACCTCGTACCACACAAGTTAGTAGAACCAACACAACAGCATCAAACCTCGTACCACACGAGTTAGCAGAACCAACACAACAGCATCAAACCTCGTACTACACGAGTTAGTAGAACCAACACAACAGCATCAAACCTCGTACTACACGAGTTAGCAGAACCAACACAACAGCATCAAACCTCGTACTACACGAGTTAGTAGAACCAACACAACAGCATCAAACCTCGTACTACACGAGTTAGCAGAACCAACACAACAGCATCAAACCTCGTACTACACGAGTTAGCAGAACCAACACAACAGCATCAAACCTCGTACCACACGAGTTAGTAGAACCAAAACAACTGCATCACACTGTCCCACCTTACCACACGAGTCACTTTAATAATGTTTACATACTGCTTTACTCATCTCATATGTATATACTGTATTCTATTCTACTGTATTTAGTCAATGCCACACAGACATTGCTCGTCCTAATATTTATATTTCTTAATTCCATTCTTTTACTTTTAGATTTGTGTATTGTTAGATACTACTGCACTGTTGGAGCTAGGAACACAAGCATTTCGCTACACCCGCAATAACATCTGCTAAATATGTGTATGTGACCAAAAAATATGATTTGATTTACTAAAACCAACACAACTGCATCAAATACCATACCACACGAGTTAGTAGAACCAATACAACTGCATCTAACACCACTACACGAGTTACTAGACCCAACACAACAGCATCAAACACCTTACCACACGAGTTACTAGACCCAACACAACAGCATCAAACGCCTTACCACACGAGTTACTAGAAGAACCAACACAACAGCATCAAAACGCCACTACAAAAGTTACTAGAACTAACATGAAAGTATCAAACGCCATCCTAACAGAGAGAGGGGTGCAGTAGATTTCATAGTCATATAGGTCAGCAAAATAAGAGCAAATGCATCTACAAACCTGTCAGACTCTAGAGGTCTTTGTTGCTGCCTCAGATAGTTAATGACAGACAGCAGGGTGCACAGAGAGGCCGGGAGAAAAAGCAAGTAGAAATTATCCAAAGTTAAACATACACAGCGAGAGAGAGAGAGAGTGTGAGAGAGAGAGAGAGAGAGGCAGAGAGAGAGAAAAACTGAGCTAGAGCTAGAGAAAGAGAGCTAGAGATAGAGAGATGGAGAGTAAAACCCACCACAGTCTGAGGGGAGAGGAGTGGTGGAGCGGCTGGAGGCCCAGGCGCGACTAGAGCAGCTGGTGAAGAAGTCCTGGATGTGTGTGGAGAGGAGCTTCCTCCAGGAGCCGTCTGAGTCCCCCAGCAGGATGTCATGGATGATGAGCGGAAGCACCCTCTGGCAGAAGTCTGTTTTCACCTGAACACATGACAAGGGATATGGGTTAGAGACAGGGATATCTGACTGGAAAGATGAGCCGAAATTGACCATGTGTGTACGCGCAGCCATGCATGTGTGTGCAAGTGCATTAGCGAGAGATGCCAGACTGCACAAGAAATTAGCATTACCACAAGTGCTGCCCTAGAGATAACAGCCATGCTCTCACCAGACACAGGGGCCGGGACAGCAGCAGAGCCTCACTCCTGACCCCTCCACTGAACCGTGCAGTGTCTTCAGCCAGGCCTTATAGCTGCCGGCCTCCGGCATCCACAGGTCGTGCCTCTCTAGCCGCTCTCTGGCCACCAAGCTCACCTCCTCACTCACGCCGACCACCTGCACAGGTGAATGGATAATTAACACACAAATACCCCCCTGCACACACACACACAAATATATATCCAAACAAGTTCACACATTCCGAAATTCAGACACACACACACGAGGACGTGATATTTCAGGTCTTGAAAAGTCTGATCACCGACAACCTTCTTCTTGGTAGATCTAAAAGGGTTGAGGTAGGCCAGCACGGGGTCACGGTTGTCTTTATGGATCTCCCAGAAGTCAGCTCCAGCCTGAGTGGCCAAGATGTCCTTTAGACTCTGGGCTGCAGCTTGCCTCACCTCAATACTGATAGAGAAACACATGGGACCACAACAAGACATAAGAGCAGTTCTATATCGTGGAGCTCCGCCCCATAGGGGAGCTCTGCTCCTAGTGGTTTACCCTCTGCCCTAAGGCAGCATCAGCCTGAGACAAAATTATGCACACACCTGCAGCCAATAGGAGCACAGGTGTCCCTATAAGAGGGGATGCCTCCCCTCAATCAGCCTCCCTTTATCTTCAGCGACTGGATGACTAGACTGAAGAGCCAAGAAGAGACGAAGCACGAAGACTCAGGACGAAAAAACGCCGTTGATATTCCAGTCATCAACGTCGTCTAAATGAGCACACTGGGAGATTTTCCACCCCCAAAAGCTATTTTCAGAGCTCAGTGCAGATGCACTTCCATGGCGGCCGGTGACCACCACGACCTGTGTTTCGTGTGTTTGGGATCCCAGCATGCCAAGGAAGGCGTCTGCAGTCCCCCGAATTGCGCCTCCTGCGCCCTCCTTTCTTTAAAGGAGAGGAAGCAGCGTTGGGCGTTTTTCAGGGAGGACATCCCCCTTGAGGACGTGCTGTCGATACTAGCCTCTGCTTCAGAGGCATCGTCCGACGGTGCAGACTCGGGGGAAGATAGGGACTTTGAGGAGGGGTCTGGCATTCCAATGGAACAGTCGGACCCCATCCCTCATATTTTCAAGCCCCCCTTTCCTTTGGAGAGCGAGAGGGCTTGTAGTCCCTATAGCGAAGGGGATACGAACTCTGAGAGATCAGAAGCTCTCTCTTTCGCTGCAGCCTCTCTGAGAGCGGATTTTCCGGGTCTCATTGAGAGAGCTGCGCAACGTCTGGAGATAGGGCTGCCCCCTCTTCCCTCCGCACCGGAGGTTGATCTGATGGAGGGCGGTCCTTATTCCAGGCCAAGGAAGGCGGCAGAGCCAGTGGCTCCTGCCATGCCTTCTTTGGCTAGGTACGTTGAGGGCTCGTGGGAGGCACCTTTAGCGGCGCGTTCGCCAGTAAAAGCGTATCTCCCATTCACGAGAGTGGAAGGAAGATTCCAGGGTCAGGGAATCCCCAGGTTAGAGAGCGCCATGGCGGCGTATCTCGTACCGGGTTCGAGCCCTTGGCCCTCTTCCAAGAAGGCCACGTTGCCATCCCAGAAGGACCGACTCACAGCGTCGCTGTTAGAGAAGTCCTATGGGTTGGGAGCCCAAGCTGTAGCAGCAGCTAACAACATTGCCCTCTTGGCGGCCTCTCTGTCCCGTTTAACCACGGGCAAGACAGAGCTGGCACCGGAGGAGGTGGAGGAGGCGTCCAGAATTTCTGGCGCCATACTCCACCTGACACAGGCGTCCGCAGTCTGCGCGGGGAGGTCCATGGCCACTTCGGTGGTTCGGGGAACGACACCTCTGGTTGTCCTTGACATCCATGAAAGAGGCAGACAGGACGTCTCTCTTGAACGCCCCCCTCTCTGACGACGGCCTCTTTGGGGTCGCAGTCAAAGAGGCGACGGAGCGTTTTTCCAAGCTAGAGGAGGAGAAGAAACAGCTGGCCAAGCACCTGCCGTTGGCAGGACGACTCAGCCCCGCTCCATCCCAAAGGCCATCTACCTCCGCCCCTCCAAGTAGACAGGGGTCTACGGCGAGGCGGCGTAATCGACGTCATCCGGCGGCCACGAGCAGCAAGGGAACGGGCCCCACCCTTCCAGCAGCTACGGTAGCCCCACTACAGCCGGCGAGGGAGGTGAAGAGGACGCCGACCTGGCCCTCCAAGGGAGGCAAGAGGAGGCGTACGTGACGGGACGCGGGGGAGTGGATAGAGGACGCATCGATGGTGTCGAACGTGCCCACTGTTCCCCCCCACCCTTCGGTTGAAGGGATGGGTGTTGATGTAAATGCCTTTGTTGATGTATTTAATAAAGAGTTGGCTCCACCTGACTTTGTCAAAAAATAGCCTCTTTTCCATAATACGTCAGAGAGCGTTCAAATCTCACCCTCTCTTCCTTACCACTCTAAGAGCCGTTCAGCCCACCGAGGGTGCGTTGCTGAACAGGCACTTAGAGTAGGTATCCATAAGACCTCAATCAGGTCGTCACATCACACTTCACGTATAAGAAGTGCTTTACATAGAAGGCAGCAGTCCCGGTCAGATTCTGACATGAGGACGCAGCCGCTATTTGGGGATGGCGCACTAGCACAGACTAAGGTCTCCGCTAGTACGAGCCAGACCCATGCTGCGTTCACGGAGGGCCCGATTACCGCGGTCACGAAGGTGTCCAGAGTATCGGCGCCCCCAGGCATTGTAACACAGCAGCTATCTGGGGACGGCGCATTATCGCAGACCAAGGTCTCGGTTAATGCGATTCAGACCCATGCTACGTTCACGGAGGGCCGGATTACTAGGGTTATGGGTATAACCAAAGTATCAGCTCCCCTGACAGAACGAGCCAGTACTCACCACACTGAGCGTGAATCAACCCACCAGGGGTGCAGAGTTGAACACACACAGAAGGTGAAAGTTAAGAAGGTTTCAAGGCGCCGCCTTGTTTTACCTCATAGAGACCTCATACTACAAACTTCTAGGAGTACTGTAGTGAAGGGCTCTGATAGCGAATTGCAGTCACCTAAGATGACGCAATCGCTTGCTGGGGATGGTGCCCTGCCGCAGGCTGTGACCTCGGTCAGCGCAATTCAGACCCGCGATGCGTTCAAGGAGGGCAGGAATACGACGGTTACGGGTTTAAACGACGTCCCTGCGCCTCTTTCTTTCTCAGAACGCATTGATGGTTCCTCTCCCTTTCACGGGAGGCCCACCTTGGGCTGTTCCACCACTTCAATGTCGGGGAACAGTGGCGGTAAGGGCCATAGAGGAATACAGGTCCTTCCTACTGGATGCACCACAGCTTCGTGCTCAGCCACTTTCTCTGCATTGTTGGCAGTGGCGAAGAAGCTGCACCCTCTCACGCTGGCTAGAACAGACGTTGCAGAAGGGTTATGCCCTCCAATTCCACCGGACCCCACCCCCGTTCAGGGGACTGGTGGAGACGGTGATGAAAATGCCAGACAAAGTGGCGCTCTGATGACAGAGATTACGGAACTTTTGGCGAAGGAGGGCGGTGACAGTAGTTCCCCCGGGAGCAAAGGAACAAAGGGCTATATTCGGCTTATTTCCTAGTGCCCAAAAGACGGGGGGGTGAGGCCGATTTTGGACTACGCATTCTCACCGAGAAGCATAACCCAAACGGCCCTCCGAATGCTAACGACAAAACGTCTGCTTTTGTGTGGGGGGTAAAAATTTGCCCCTTTTTTCTTTTTGGGGGGAGGGCCCCAACCCCGGCCCCCCAAAAATTTTGGGGTTTTTTGGCAAAAGGGGGTTTTTCCCTTTTTCTCCTTTTTCCCAAAACGGCTTGGGTTTTTTTTCCCCCCCGGGGGCCCCCCCCCCCGGGGGGGGGCGGGGGGTAAAAATTTTTTCCCCCCTTTGGGGGGGCCCCCCAATTTTTTTGGGCCCTTTTTTTCCCCCCCCCCCCTTTTTTCCCCGGTTTGTTTTTTCCCCCTTTTTGGGAACCCCCCTTTTTGGGGCTTTATTCCAAATCTTTTTTTCCCTTTGGGTTTTGCCCCCCCCGTTTTTCCCCTTGGGGGGCCCCTTTTTGGTTTTTCCCCCCCCGCCCGGGGGGTTGGGGCATTTTTTTTTTTCCCCAAAACCCCCCCCGGGGGCCTTTTTTTTTTTTTTCCCCAGCCCTTTGGGGCCCCCCCCCGGGCCCGTCCGAAAAACCCACGGGGCCAAAAGGGGTTTCGTGCCCTTTCCCCCCCCGGTTGGGGGGTTTTAAAGGGGGCCGGGTGGCCAAAAAAGGGCCCCCCCCTTTTCCCCCCGAAAAAAGGGCCCTACTCCCAAAACAGGTCCCCCGGGGGGGGAATTAAAAAAAAGGGGGCCCCTTAAAAGGGTCTTTTTTGGTTTTTGAAAGAGGGGGCCAACGACAGGGGTTTTTTGGTAAATTTTCCCCAAAGGGACCTTGGGGAAAGGAATGGCCTACGTTGACCCTGGCCGGGCCTTTGGGTTCCCCGGGGCCCCCGGGGCCCCCAAATTTTAACCCTTGCGATTTTCCCCGGATCCCTCCCCTTTCCCTTTTGGGGGCCCGGGGGGGGGGGGAGGGGGAAACAGGGGGGGTTTCCCCAAAGGGGGTTTTTCCCCCTTTTCCCAAAATTTTTAAAAATTTTTTCCCCCCCCACCCCAAAAAAAATCGGGGCCGACCCCCCCCGGCAGTCCCCCCTTTCCCCCTTTGCGCACCAACCGTGGCCGAGTGTTCTCCTGTATGCATTCCCTCCGCTGTCCTGCATTCTCCCACTGCTAGCCAGGGTGAGGTCAGGGGGGCTGTCAGTGATACTGATAGCGCCCGATCGCCCGGGGGCTCCTTGGTTTGCGGAGATGAGTCAGATGTTGATTGCGCCACCTTGGCCAATTCCACATCGACGGGACGCGTTGTCTCAGGCGGAAGGCACGATAGGGAAGTTGCCCATAATCGGCCAACCACTTATGGCCTGGCTGCTGAGAGGGACAGGCTAGAGCGCCGTGGGTTATCTGATGCAGTGATCAGGACCATACAGGGTTCACGTGCCAGTTCCACTTCTAAGATGTATGCCAGTAGATGGAACGTGTTTTCACGATGGTGTGTTACACAAGGTGTAGACCCCATGAGCTGTCAGGTGGAGAGTATTCTCTCTTTTCTACAGCTCATGTTTGATAAGCAAAAATCGCCGGCCACTATTAGGGTGTTTGCAGCAGCGATTTCAGCTTGTCATGAGGGGTTTGGCAGAGACAATGTCTTTAGCCACCCTCTAGTGAAACGCTTCCTATTAGGAACGCGGCGACTTAGGCCAACACCTAGAGTCACGCTTCCTCAGTGGGATTTGGCTTTGGTACTCGAAGCGCTATGTAAGTCGCCGTTCGAGCCATTGAATCAAATACCCCTCAAGATGATGTCTATTAAGACAGCACTGTTGCTCGCTTTGACTACAGCTAAGCGGGTCAGTGATTTGTGTGCTCTTTCGACGAGACCTGACTGCTTGGCCATCAATGGTGACCTGAGCAGAGCAGTGTTAAGTCCTAACCCGGCATTTGTGCCGAAGGTTATTAAGAGTTCATATAGGTCACAGACCGTGGAGCTGTGGGCTTTTTCTCCTCCTCCTCATAGAGAGAGGAGTGAGGTGAAGCTCCATCGCCTGTGCCCGGTACGCGCTTTGGCGTGTTACGTCGAGCGCACAGCAGCGATTAGGTCATCGCCTCAGTTGTTTGTGTGTCACGGTGCGGCTGCACTAGGTAGACCACTTTCAAAACAGCGGTTGTCTCACTGGCTTTGTGAAGGCATCGAGACAGCTTATGAGGCAGCGGGGCGGCAATTGCCTCAGGGTATCAGAGCTCACTCCACTCGTGGGGTAGCGGCTTCTACTGCCCTTTTCAGAGGAACAGGGGTAGAGGATATCTGTAGAGCAGCATCATGGTCGACGCCGTCTCCATTTATCCGTTTCTATCTCTTAGATATGTCTTCTAACTCTCTGGCTCGATCTGTACTCAGCGTGGCTGAAGGGAGATCTTGAGCAAGAAAAGAGAGGAGAAGCAGGACTGTGGACACAGGTTTCCATCAGGTCCGCTTTGGTTAGGAAGACGTGTTTTTGGACAGATGTTTTTTCTAACTCTTTGGCTCGGTCTGTACTCAGCATAGCTGAAGGGAGATCTTGAGCTAGGAAGAGAGGAAAAAGCAGGACTATGGACAAGGTTTCCATCAGGTCCGCTTTGGTTAGGAAAACGTGTTTTTGGACAAATGTGTTTTCTAACTCTTTGGCTCGGTCTGTACTCAGCATAGCTGAAGGGAGATCTTGAGCTAGGAAGAGAGGAAAAAGCAGGACTATGGACAAGGTTTCCATCAGGTCCGCTTTGGATAAGAAAACATATTTTGTAGCATGACTCCTGACTGACAGGTTCAGTACAGTAGAAGCATGCGTTGATTGACAGAATGTGAGGTCATCTATCTGCTTGTTCAGTTTAGTATGACCCATGTTTTGTTCCTGCACACTAATCTCTGGGATTCCATTGAGTGAGTGAGGCGGTCTACCGCGTTCACAAATGTAGAGTGACATTTGGTGTCATTCCATTAGTGGTTGGTAGTGTTTTCACAGGATATTGAGGCACATCTATCTGCTAGTACAGATTAGTATGGCTTCTATTCTGGTGATCTGCCCACTAGTCATTGGCATTGCCATTGGACTAGGTGGGGCGGGTCTTTAACCGATGACGCAGTATATTGTGACGCCCGTAGGTTTTTTTTAGTTGCAGTACTGCGGGACTTGGTTGCAGCCATTGCCAGGCCTGACCTTTTCGTTTCGATGGGAAGTGTTAGGCTCGGCAGGGAGTACATTTTGGAGCGCTACGCTCCGCCTTAAACCACTAGGAGCAGAGCTCCCCTATGGGGCGGAGCTCCACGATATAGAACGATTAGTTACCGGAGTGTAACTCCAGTTCTATGAGTGGAGCGGAGCCCTATAGGACTTAAGGCCCTGCCGACCCTCTCTAGTCTCGCTGAAGATAAATATCTCGGGAGGCTGATTGAGGGGAGGCATCCCCTCTTATAGGGACACCTGTGCTCCTATTGGCTGCAGGTGTGTGCATAATTTTGTCTCAGGCTGATGCTGCCTTAGGGCAGAGGGTAAACCACTAGGAGCAGAGCTCCCCTATGGGGCTCCGCTCCGCTCATAGAACTGGAGTTACACTCCGGTAACTAATCGGTCAAGACACACTCACTATATGAAAACCGTATGACAATACAGTGGTTATTTGCCTGGGCTAAATTCAGTGTTGATTTAGTAAGAAAGTGTCATTGGACTTCAGGGCCAATAGATACAGTATATGGCAGGGCTCTACACTGCTTCCATTTTGGTCGCTTAGGAGCAAATGTGGTCCTTGTAAAGAAAATCTGCGTAGAGCCCTGTATGGTGTACCAGTGGTGTGTGAGGGCGTTGTTGATGCAGTTCAGGATGATGTAGAGCAACTGTGGTTCCACGGCTGGGAAGAGAGATACAGCTCTGGCATTGAGCTGGTCCTTCCCATGGAGCAGAGCGATGGTGGAGAAATCCACAGGCCCCAGCTCTCCCAGACAGCTCCCTGTAGCCTCTATAAAAACATAGGCACATGGTCAAGGAAAATAATAAGACCTTTTTGACACAACGGTGCCAAACTACTTCCTATCACACTACCAATTATTGATGCTTTCCTGGGAGAGGAAACATACGCAGTGCCAACAGTGAGGTTGAGGTAACCATACGTACCTGCCTCCCGAGTGGCGCAGCGGTCTAAGGCACTGCATCGCAGTGCTTGAGGCGTCACTACAGATCCGGGTTCGATCCCAGGCTGTGTCACAGCCGGCCGTGACCGGGAGACCCATGAGGCGGCGCACAATTGGCCCAGCGTTGTCCGGGTTATGGGAGGGTTTGGCTGGCCGGGATTTCCTTGTCCCATCGCGCTCTAGCGACTCCTTGCGGCGGGCCGGGCGCCTGCAAGCTGACTTTGGTCGCCAGCTGGATGGTGTTTCCTCCGACACAATGGTGCGGCTGGCTTCCGGGTTAAACGAGCAGTGTGTCAAGAAGCAGTGCGACTTGGCAGGGTCGTGTTTCAGCTCTCGACCTTCGCCTCTCCCGAGTCCGTAGGGGAGTTGCAGCAATGGGACAAGACTGTAACTACCAATTGGATATCACGAAATTGGGGAGAAAAAGGGGTAAAAGTACAATTTAGATCAAATGAAAAAACTACATAAGTACCTAAGATGTCTCTTCCTCCAGGGTGGTTGGCTGCTAGCTTACAGAGCTGTAGCAGGTTAAGGACCAGCCGCACCAACACACTCTCTGCTGGGTCCTCTAGAATGAAGAGGTACAGAGATAGGATTCAAAAAGGGCAAACTAACACACTCACCCCCACATACAGATGAATGGGTCTGGTAACATATCTAGACTACGGTAGCCCTCCCCCTCTCTGACCGAGGCACTCTCTCAGCAGCTGTCTGATCTGGCTCTTGTTGTTGAGCTGTCTCCTCAGGTCCTTCAGCCCCTCCAGTCTGGTCACAGACAGGAAGTGGGCTATCTCCTGTGGACGAGACACAGAGAGGCTCATGGGATGTGGCAAAAGTGTGAATCAGCTGTAGCGTTCATACATGAGAGGGTCTGTGTGTGAAAGGGGTGCCCTTACCTGTCTGAGAGGGAATTTCGCTGTGCTGTACTACAGTGTATGCTGCACAGCCCTCAGGGCGGTCTGAGAAGGGCTCCAACTGCTGGATGGCACTCTTCAGCTTGTCCTGACTCTCTACGATCAGGAACGTCAACAGAGAGAGAGAGAGAGAGAGAGAGAAAGAGAAGAAGAGAGGGGAGTGACAGAAAGAGGGGTCAACAGAGAGAGAAAAGGAGAAAGAGAGAGAGAACAGGAAACAGTGTAATACCTACTTTGAGCAAAATATTATTTGTCATACAAAGAGTCTACTGGCCGTGTGATACAACCATGTCTTACCTGCTGTGAGATGGCAAGTTGGTTGGTCACCTGGGCAGTGAGAGTACCAACGATGACCTGTAGGTGGCTCTCCACAGTGTCGTCACAGAACTGCACGGCCGTGCGACACACGGAGGTCAGTAGGTCACAACACAGGGAGAAACTACGGCTGGACACCTCGTCCAACTGGGCCGACCTGACAGAAAACAAGAACAGGCAGAAAAACTATTAACTATTAGAGAGCAAAAATGACGAGTCTCTCCATCGGATCTGAGAGAGAGCAGCAGACTGTGTGTGTGTGTGTGTGTGTGTGTGTGTGTGTGTTAACCCCTAACCTGCTGTTGATGTGGTGGATGAGTGTGTAGATGATGTCTCGGAGGACGAAGGCCCAGGTCCTTGACCTCCCTGAGCAGCAGACTGACAAGCAGGTGGTACATCAGCAGGATGCGGTGCCTCTCGTAGGCATTGATCGTCTCAGCTGCTTTCTGACACACCGCCAGCAGGATCCTCTGGATGGAGATCTAGAATAACAACATAAGAGGATCACAGAATACGGATTCCTTTCCAGATTAAACGTTTTTTTAAACTGGGCCCAGGAAACCACTCAACTTTGTTAAGCCATATTCTGTTCCATTGTGTTATAAGAACATTCTACAGCAATCGCAATACAATGGTGAGAGACGAGGACAGAATTTTACCGGAGTCTTGGATAAAATGGCCACCAGGGACTTGTGATTGGCACTGTGACATTTGCTGAGGTAGTCCAGTGTGGCTTTGATGACATAGGAGCTGAAGTAGGGTGGGGTTTGGGGCTGGGTCCAGTTCCCTAGAGAGAACATAGAACATATTCATCACAGACAATGAAAGGTTGTAAAACCTTTCATCTAACCCATAACACATTAATTACTACGGCTCATATTCTTAATAAAATTTCCATATTTACCAAAAAGCCTAATTCGATCAGTACTTCCCCCCTTTGGATTTCCTCTCTCTATTTCCCCCGATTGTTACCGTTCCCTTGCTTCAACGAAAAATTCCATAATTGTATTTGCTAAACTATTGTTTAAAATCGACATTTTGGTTTTGTTTGATTATTGTAAATATCATTTTATATTTCTTTCCCACACGCTCTCTAGTAGATCTAATTTTGTCAATGTTTATTCATCCTGTATGACCTCTAAACGTTCTTTCTGCCGTTTCAAAAGGGCTACCAAACCTTTGTAACCACAATGCCCTGCATTCCTCGCGCCACTGTTTGATCTCATTAAGTAGATTATGTTGCTCCATTACCAAATTACGTAATGTCCTCCGTCCTAATTATATTTACCAGACATTGTGCACACATTAAATTCCATGCTTTATACACCTCTTTCATATAATCTAAATCCCATTTCGGGTTGCTTATGTCTGTATTATCAATTATATACTTTCGCGCTACTTGTAATTTATCCCTCTTAAAACAACCATCTTGAGGATAGTCATTATCTGTCCATGCTGATAAATCACCAAGATATTGTCCCACATAGAAAAATCCTAATTTACTTAACATCCATTTGCACATAATTTCATTTATATTACTGTTACAAGAGACTTGTTCTAAATGCAGATTTGTCTGTAATAATTTTGTCATTTCCTGTCTCTCTCTTCGAGTTAAATGAAGCTCTGCTTTACATTTACATTTACATTTTAGTCATTTAGCAGACGCTCTTATCCAGAGCGACTTACAGTTAGTGAATACATCTTTTTTATTTTTATTTTTTTATACTGGCCCCCGTGGGAATCAAACCCACAACCCTGGCATTGCAAACACCATGCTCTATCAACTGAGCTACATCCCTGCCGGCCATTCCCTCCCCTACCCTGGACGACGCTGGGCCAATTGTGCGCCGCCCATGAGTCTCCCGGTCGCGGCCGGCTGCGACAGAGCCTGGATTCGAACCAGGATCTCTAGTGGCACAGTTAGCACTGCGATGCAGTGCCTTAGAGTACTTTACTCTTAATGGTGACTGTTTTTCCAGATACCGGTCTACTAAGCAGGCCATTCATTACTGCTATGAGTTCATGCAATATTAGTAATCAAATACTTAAATCAAATCCCAATCTTGATCTGTATTAAAATGTTGTTTGCCTATTTTGTCTTTGGTGTTATGATTCAATATGTTACTGCTCCCTCTCCTGGCCGTTTTGAGTAATTCACAAGGGACTAATTCTCTCATAGGGCTTTTATAACACGGTTGAGGCCTTGAACCTCTTCACATCTATCTCTTTATTCTGTTTCCTTGAGGACTCGAACCCCAGAACAATGTTTATTCTTTCATCACAGGACTTGAACCTATTTATCACACCTTATAATCTCGTCATTTTGAGGACTTGAAACTCTGACCTATTTTATAATGTTTCTTTTGACTTTATTGGACTCAAACCTATTATATAATGTCATACACTATATAATATTGTCATTGTGAGGACTCGAACCTCTGACTTATTTTATAATGTCGTACACATTAAAATACCCTACGCCCAATCCTGTCTTGTCTTTTGTCTTTGTACTCATTACTCTTAACACACCCTGTTTCGAATCATAGCACCATGTCATTGTCTGAATTTGATATTCTTCCTTACATCTCACTAAATAACTCAATACCACTCATCGTCCCCCTTTAAAAATATTGCTTAAATGTTCGTTACAGCTCAGCTTCACCACAGATAAGCAGAATTTGACATAATAAAAAAAATTTAAAGTCTGCTTACCTGTTAGTTCGGCTGTAAACTGCATCCTGTTCGTTTAGACGGCAATCTGTTATGATGAGTTTCTGGTATTGAGAAGTTCAGAATGCAAGAAAGTATGTTACACAGATGGAGATTGGTTTCAGTCATCATTTAATGGTCACAATAATGGATTCAATGACAGGGGGTACGGACATAGCTGCCTGCCATCTGAATGACTTCCATACCAAATCTCTCAGCTTATATAACGCCCTTCCAATCTACTTTTATCCCACACAGTTGCTACTAACCATCATTGAGTGTCACTCATCCACCACCATATCATGCACCTCCTTGCTGTCGTGTGGCACCCTAGCCAGGCCATTCCATCACACACCCATCCTAAGATTAGCAACAGTGGCCCCCAATCTATCTTGGCACACTGACCTTCTGTTCCTCACTCGTGACACCAATAACACATGATGTGTCCTTGTTCTCTGTCCACATACAGCTTCATACATTAATGAATCTTGTATCACAAATCATCATAACAGTAGCCAAATTATTTTCCCTTACCTTTTTGATGAGCGGCTCCTCTATGTTGTTCTCCTTGTAGGACTGGAAGAGGGTGAAGAGGGACTGTTTCTCACAGACGGGGCTGCAGCACAGCACCACCGACACATTCTTCAGCAGCGTGGCCTTGCGGTTAAACGTCTCGTCACACGGGTCTTCAGGAGAGCTGCTCTTCTGTGACACACACCAGGGAGAGCAGAGGGATAGTGAGATGGACTGGCCATAAACACATCTGTCAGAGTAACATGTGAAAGACAGGCTTACCTGGATACTCATCCCTTCTTGGGCTTTCAGGTAGACATTCTCAAATGCGGTCTGCTGGCATTTCAGAGGAAGCATCTTTCTCTTCTCCAAGCTGTCCGGTGTAATCTGCAAGAACAGTCTATGGATGGAAGACAGCATGCATGGTAGACATGTTAAACATGTAAATATTAACTTTTTAACTTGAGAGACATTAGCCTCTGTGATGGCATTAAGGCTGGTGAGAGTGTTCCGTCAGTGAAACCAACCTTTCCACTGTCATGGCTGCAAGCATTCGTACGTGACGGTGAGAGTCAGACAGGTGGGACGGGAGGATGACGGATACTGGAAGCTCCTCCTCCCTCAGGGTAAGGACCGCCCACTTACAGCAAGGGTCAGCCTGACATAGGGGGAGAGAGGGAAGTAAATGGTGTTATTACTCTCCATCTACCTAAGACAGGGTTGTTATCATGGGAAGTTACTATGCTGTGGCTATAAAACATTGTGAACTCACCTCCAGTAGAGCCAGTAGACAGTGAATTAATGCCACCTTTACAATTGCTGTGCATTTCCCCGTTCTGCCCAAAATGCTAGAAGAGACCATTAAAAGTTGGAAGTTACATTTTAGAACGAATAACAAGAATTATTGTCATGTCAAAATACAAAAATCTGGAGTTTGGTGCTGACCAGAATCCAGAGACTACTTGGAGCAGAGCTCCCTGGACGTGTCTCATGTCATTATGCTGGTCCTGAGTACGGCCCAGACTACGGATAGACGGTAGCAGACCCAGCAGCACTGCAGCACAGATCTCCTGGTCCTGGCGGTACAATGAGCAAAGATCCCTGCAAGCACAAAAAAGTAAACCGTTTTCAGAACCTACTGTATAGCCTAGTATACTTGACATATTGATCTAGAAACAGAGGCCTTTCTTACGGCAGAGGTCTGAGGAGTGAGTCAAACTCTTCAGCTGCCAGCGATGTGTCCTCAGCAGGTAGTTTCTTCAGAAGGACCAGGTACTGAGAGGGGACAGGAAAATAATGAACTATTAGTATTCCATGTTAGTGATACAAGAACATCATCAGTCATCATTTCCAACATGATCGGTAGGGAACAACGATTAGCAGTGCAACATTGACCACACTACATAGTCCTGGTCACTCACCATGTTGAGGTGTAGTGGCTTGGTGCAGTCCATGTCCTCCAGCAGTAGTAGCAGCTTGCGGCGGACCTCCGCTGGTTTGAAGAAGAGCCCGTGGATAAACTCAGCCGAGACACACATGGACAGGAACTCAAGACTGGCCAAGAGGGCTAAATAGTAGGCTCTTAGCACCTAGGAGAAGATAGAGCATTTAAATGACCATCTGATCGGTTTATGCATAGAAATGCTTAGAGGCCAATGCCTGGTCTGATTATAAACCCCCAAGCCCCTACCCCTGGAAATATCTCATTGATCTGAAAGAATCAGATTGGGTGTGCACAATATGTCAATAGCTCCACCTCACCCTCTAGTATCCTGGCATAGCGGCTGACAGAGGGGTTGATTTTACATGGGGCATACAAGGGATATCATCCATTTACCAGGACCACACTGGGTGTCATTGGGGTCCACATTCTGTCTGTGAGTCCCATTAGATGTGCTGGTCTGTGGGCCGTCTCCATCATCAAACAGGTCAATGTCCTCCTGCTGGTCAGCCTGTGTCCTCCTCCTCAATCACCACACTGCCTCTCTTACAGGAGCTGTTCAGCTGGAGTTAGAGACAGACACAGGGTGAGCTTACAGAACTCAGATCATTACAGAGTGGTTATACAGGTCCAAATGATGGTTATTCAAATGGTCAAAATGATGGTTGATGGGACAGAAAGCAAGCTCTCCATGACTCACCAACAGTTTGCATATTTCTGACAGTTTAATCAAAAGTCTTGCAGGGAAAATCTTCATGAACAAGTTGCAAGAGACGGAGCTCATACTGTCCTGTGGAAGTAAATGAAAGTACAAATAGAGAGCCAGATTTTAAACACAGCTGTTGATGGCGATGATAATGATGAGGAACAGGGAGAGGAAGAAAGCTTGTCTTACCGTAACTCCTCTGTTGACACACTGGGTGCACAGCCGCATGACAGACCTGAGTGTAGTCATTGTCCCATCCTCTGCCATATTCACCTTCACATTAGATATGTACTCACTAAAATCCTGGGCCAGTGCCTGCGAAAAGCCAACAGAATATACAATGAATTGCATATATGTGGATTTCAGCAGGCATATAAGAAATGTTATCAACCCGTTCAGACTACCTTGGCCTTTATGAAAAGTTGGGAATGGCAGGCTTCTTCCTCAGTCAGGAGACCATTAGAGACATATCCTGCTAAAATGCCAGTAAGGAGACTTGAACAACGAACCAGGCATTCTGGTGGTGTGGTCTGAGACTGAGGAGAAAACACACACAGTACTTAGTTTGAACATACTAACAAAACCATGATTGTAACATTCACTCACATCAGGAGAGTAGCAGTTGAGTAGGTGGTCAGCCACAGACAAGAGGCCCTGCTCCACCTTGTGTTTAAGGCTGGGGACAACAGTGAGCTGGGAGTCGGCTGAGGACCATCACTCCCTTCACTTTCACCATGGGGTCAGAGGGCATCTCGTCGAAGCTGAACTGCAGGTACATGCTCTCAATCTCGTTCAGGGCATCTTTAGCTTTCACTTGAGCTTGGTCTTGCATCACAGCACTTTAGGCAGAGGGAAAGATTGAAGGTGGCATGAAATCTATG